GCATGCTGTTTTATTTGTATCATTTAAGGCTATTTTTATACATAGCTACATATTTTAAGTTTGCATTGATTTATTTTGAAATCCGTACAGCCATACAAATTGGATATTTTACCGCGGCACACCTGACAATGTCACAAGAACGGGTTGAAAAACACTGCATTAATATTTGTAGTTGGACTGATTATTTACAAGACAATGCTACTTTGTATTTTCAGATGCTACTTTTGCTGCATGCTGTTTTATTTGTATCATTTAAGGCTATTTTTATACATAGCTACATATTTTAAGTTTGCATTGATTTATTTTGAAATCAGTGTTTGTGTCTAATCAATCAGTCAATCTACCAATGAATCAACTAATAAATTAGTCAGTCAGTTAAAATGTTATTTATATAGCACTTTTCATGCTTGTAAAATGGAGCACAACGTTTTGAACATACCAGGAGCCAAACGAACAAATGTCATAAGCATAAACATGCACTTAGAAACGGTCACGGTATTTTAAATTTGCATGTTTACACATGCAGAGCGATAAAACACAAAAAAAAGAATGAATAAGACAAATGAAAAAGCATCCTGGCCTCAACTCTGTAGTTCAGATTGTCATTTATTATGATAATTTTAGTCTTTTCATCAGTTTGACACCGTTGGCCTTAAAAGGTTTTTCAAGTACTAATAATGGTGGTTTGTGTCAGGGTTCCAGAAATCCAGATAAATGAATTGGACCCACTAATGGAGACAGAGATAAGCTCTTCATTACAAAAGTTTATTGAGGAAAAACGCAAGACTGACAAAGTACAACAAATGACACTGGAAACAAAGACCCAAAGAAACACAAAACCAAAAAAAAACAAATGCTTGGAAAAGACAAGGACAAAAAGTAAACATGAATAGCTTGTCACTGAAAGGTCAGGGAAAATCCAATGACATGAAAGGAGACAAACACTGGGAATAGCGTTATGACAAAAAAAAAAATTGACTTCTAATGAGATTTCATCTCTTTCTGAGCAGACTTGCTAGGCCCTAGGGCAGGGGTGGGCAAACTTTTTAGCTCGGGGGCCATATTGATTTCTAAATTTGACAGGTGGGCCGGGTCAGCACAAGATATGGTACATATAAAAAAACGTATATGTTGACAATCCATACCAAACATCAACAGAACAAAAGCATTCAAGTATTACCATACTTTTTTTCATGAGAACAGTGAGATAACTATGGTATATGTCCGGTATGAACATCCAAGTACGGTATGTTAACAACATACATTGGTGACAACACAAGCAACAAAGTGCAACAATATATTGTCCAAAAACTGCGGCATACAGTACAGGTACAGTATATGAGAAAATATAACAAAGGTAGGACTATTTGCTCCAAAATGAGATGAGTAAAAGACCTGGTGGCTTTCTTTCCACTCACTCACTGTCTCGAAATCGACCTCCCCTCGATCACCACACAAGACAGCGTTGCTCAGCTGATGTCG